GCTGTCCCCGCGTCAAAGCCTGGACCATCCCGCTCTCAAACCGGTTTGGAGCATGTTCTGGAGGTGTCATTGATTCCAAAGCCAGGAATTTGCGCCTCCGTTCATGTCAGAACGTGGCGACCACCCAAACATCGCTGCGAAAGCAATGCGAGTGCGTCCGGCACGGGCTTTGAATTGAGCAAGATGCGAACGTGCAACAAAACGGTAAGGATTTTGACTTTGAGACCGCAGCATGACTTGCTGAATATGTCTTGAATATATAAAGCCGTGGTGATGGCCACCTTTGGTGAGAAGGGGTTTTCGTGGCATGTGAGTCACACATGTGAGGGCTCTTTGAAGACCAACAAACGGATTTCACATGATTTCCCGGTTCCGGGGAACTGGGAGACGCGGTGGATCTGGGAGACCGCAGCACGCCACGCCAGGAGACACTCCAAGAGCTTTGGGAGATTCACTTGGCCCGTGAGGAACCTGCCGGCTTGTCGAGTGTGCCCATGGAGATTACGGAGGAGGTCGGGGGATGTGGTCGAAGGGTGGTGGTTGAAGGATGTTGAAGGGTCAAAGATGGTCAAAGGTAAGCAATACGTCAAGCTGAAAAGACGGAGACGCCCACCTCACCTAAACGTTCCCAAGGGGTGGTTTCTGCAGGGGTTGCGTGTTGCTCATGTTCGAGCACTTACTGAGCGATAAAATCCCAGCAAAAAATTGGAACTCCTCAAAGCTACCATCTAGCAGGAAGACAAACTTGTGCCTTGTTTGACCGCCTCAAATCTCACAAAATGCGAAATCTATCAATACCTTTGGATGGAGAGGCCAATCAAGGGGCTGAATTTAAGAGGTTTGAACTTTGGATTCACTGTTATATAGTATTTTAGTCGCTTTCTTGAACATTCTTTTTCAACCGCCCTTTATGTACTGTGTAGTTTTGACATGGTGCCGGTTATTGTGCGAGGCAATCCTCAACCCTGCAGGTAAGTCAGCAGCTCACAATGAACGATTGGCTGCTTTTCTATGGGGACTTGCACCTTGGAGATGAGTAAGAATCGTCCAGTGCATAGATTTATAGGTACAGGTTTTCCCTAATGATAGAGCTATAGCTACTGCATTGTTTCCGGGAGGTCTTCTGATTGGAATCAGGTTGAATGGCAACACTCGAGACAAGCTTGCTGATGTGGATGCACTGGAACAGGCGTTCATGATTTCAGTGGGCGCTTCTTCTTTGGACTCACAAATGCTGTATCAATGCGCATGCAGTGAAACCATCCCGGACATTATGAAGAAGATGCTCAATCATTGGGTTCGTTCAGCCGTTCCTCGGACAGAAGAGTCGCAGCGTCTGAAGTTTTTCGCGTTCGTTTCCAACCGCCCCGCTGTTTTCTCCGCTTGTTGTTCATCCCGGGCTACAGGACCACTTCCTTTTGTGGCCACATACGGTTCCTGACTTGCTGTCGCTTTTTGATTTCTCAACCAAAAGCACACTCCGTCGTCAAGGAAGAGAGAGAGAGATCCAAGACATTTTTAGAAGGGTCAAGGGTTTCTTTTGTGCCATTTCCATGTGCTTATGGTTTGTACCTTCCTTTTTCATTGGACTTTGCTATGGGACTGTCAGGTGCTCTCGCATCAGACCATGCCCTTCACCGCGCCCGGTGTAGCAACGACGACCAGTCCGGCCAGTCGGTCAAGCTTAGAAGCTCCGAAAGTGGAAGCTGTGAGAAACGAGACCAGAGGGAGCAAGCAATCCGAAGGGAAAGATGGGAAAGAAGAGAATACGGGGGAAACGGCGAGGAGGAACGAGACCATGATGGCTTTCGAGGAATCCAAGAAAGAGAAAGATCAGAAAGCACTGGAACCAGAGAGGCGGAGCGAAACCACACTGTTTGGTGAAAAATCCAAAGAAGAGAAAGAGCAGAAAGTCGGGGAAGTGATGAGGAGAAGCAAGACCAGAGTGGATTGCATGGACTCCAAATTGAAAGGTGGGCAATCAGGAGAATTCGCACAAAGGAGCGAGATCACAGTGTCTCGCAAAGAATCCAAGGAAGAGCCAAAAGCAGATGGCATGGCGAGGAGGACCACGATGGAGGAGAAAGAGCAGACTTTGCCCACAGGGCACCGAACCGAGACAGAGGCTATAGATCCAAATGTAAAAGCCGCAGAAGCCCCTAGTGGAACAGAAGCACCTGACGGTGAGTTGCCAGAGGAGGCCCATGAGGAAGATGAGCTTTTTACCAAAGACCAGTGGGTTGCATGGTTCAAAAGCGCAGACTTGGACAAGGCCTTGAAGTTGAGTCAAGTGATGTTGAGTACTTCGTATGTTTTCGGCTAAGTTTTGGGTATCAATCTATATTGAGGGCTTCGTTCGGGTCATGCTACGTACAGTACATCAAGGTGCATCGAACAAGAAGGAACGTAAGAAGGCAGAGGGCTCCGCCAATGTGATTTCTCATCCTTCTTGCAGAAAGTTCATAGGGTTTTTGAGGTGTTTCTTTTTTTTTATTCCTCAAGTCTGTCTCTATGAACTCCGGACCATCCTTCTGGAAGTCTTCCACAACGGAGTGCCGCTCTGGCCTCCAGAGTGCCGCTCTGGCCCCGACTCCCAACAGAAGCACCGCATTCAGGGTGATAATGGATACACTCAAGCTTAGTTTTGGTGTTGTTTTGATTATTTAAAATCTACCTTCCCAACAGCCAAGATCTGCCAAACCATCAGTAGATCGTTTTTCAATCGCGTTTGGCCCGTGACGTGACGTCGTGAAATCGACGGTCAGGAGGAGGAAGCCTTGTTGACCTCCGCCCTGCTTTCCGTGGAGTCCGAACAGCAGCTGAGCCCGGAAGAGATGGCGCAGGCATTGAAAGCCTTTGCGGCTGGCTCAGAGGAGGAGCAGGACCAGTCTCCCGGAGCCCCAAGACATCGAGTCTTCAGGAAGAGTCAGCGGTCAGTGGGGGCTTGAGGGAAGCAAGAATCCAGGAACTTGAGTGGTGGTAGCCAAGAATAGCCAAGGGAGTTTCTGTCAATAACACATTTGGGGTGTTATGAAGTAAGGGGGGCATCCAGGGACACCTCCCTGGTCGCTTGGGTTCAATTGTCTTGTGGTCGCCCACTTTTGGGGGGCGATATGCGGCCATCGGGTGGATCAAGTCAACATGCGATCATTTTGTGGGAGGCCTCAAGCACCACTTTTGGGCAAACCCCCGTTCCAAGTGGCGCAGCCGGCTCCAAAAACAATTAAAAAGCACTTGATTGTCTCTGTCCAGCCAATCCCCGGTATTGGAAGTGGCATCAGCAGCATGATTTGAGCAAGAGCCTTTCGACTCTTGACTCAAGACATTCGATGAAGCCTTTGGCCAAGGCTTCATGAGTGGGCTCAATGGGCTTTGGACATCAATGATGACTGAGAAGGATTGGAGCATGGTCCAAACTCAGACCGCAAAGGCAATCGAGCAAGGTCAACAACACTGTATGACGATGTTGTGAAAGACACCCACCAAGCAAAATTACAATAATATATATATATATATAAATGCTATTAGTGATACGTCGGATGGACAACCTTTTGAGTGTACAACACACAGTGCGTCGCTTCAAGTTCTGCCAAGTGTGAGAGAAATCGAATTAAGATAAGGAGGCACAGAGCAACGTCACAACTACAACCCATCATACTCCAACAATGGTTGTGGGAGTTGTGGGACATTGAACATGTGAGGCAGAAGCATGCCAACATGAATGTGTTATTGTTTTTGTTATGGGAACTGAGCAAAGCAACACACGTACATGAAGAAGGCAAAATCCATTAACATGAAAAGGTGGATCCCGTGCTTCGTCAACGCACACACACCAAAAAAATACACACAAAATCAAAGTGCAGAGCTGTTGAAGGTGCTGCCAAATGTACCAAGGCCACGTGCTGCCTTATGGCATGCGCGATTGGTAGCTGGGTCATTTAGAGAGCCAAAGACTGCTCAGTCAGCTTTGATCGAAGGGAATCCATGGAGGGACTGGTGACCTAGAATTCCTTGTGGATTGATGATGCAGCAATACTAGGTTCAAACCAGCCATCGGAAGTTATATACTGTAAAGTATGGGTTACAACACCCAGTGGAACAATTTGACCTTTTCTTTTCACATGTTGAAGGCCAATAGGAAGCTTGTCCGTTCATGGATTCCCTCCGTTTGCTTGGACCACTCGCCTAGCGCTTGGTGAAACCAGGCGCTCATGGCTCGCCATAGTTTCTAGTGGAGAAAGGGGTGGTGGGTGGTGCCGTACGAAGCGCCAGCAACGGGCAGGCAATCACACTGAAGGAATGCAGCACCGCCAGTAGTAGTATTGCCCTGGGGCGGAACCGAGAAGCTGTCACCGTTTTCCAATAGGGCCAATAGGGTGCTCTACATCAGAGGCCTAACCCTCGTGGCACGTAGTTGTGACTAAATTGGTGGTAAAGGAGTCATCTCATGAAGAAAGAACACGGTCAACCACCATCAGTGTGGCGTCCATTGAGGAGTACTGGGTTTCTGATGATGTGGCGTTATGTGGCCTGTTTTGGTTCAGGTGTAGGGCCCTGTTCTACTTCAAAAGCCTGCGAGCTTAACCTTTGCTATGTCCGCATCTCGCCATGCTATGGGCTGAAGCTTCTCGCATGCATCCCATCTTTAGCGATCGGCATGTGGGACTTGCTCAGCATTGCTACGGGCCTTTGTGGTGACTCGCATGGGCACCGCTATGATCACTTCTATTTTCAACCACACCCCAGCGTGACTCTCGCCAAGCAGCCCTTGATCGGCTGTGCTTCCGGACTCTTGAGCTTGGCGGTGGAAGGGGTGGTCGGTGCCCAGTGGGTTCCCCAAGAGGCCTCCTGGAAGCGCTGTCAGATTCCTGGTTTGGCTCATCTATTTTCATCTATTTTCCATAGACGCCGATCAGTTAGGGTGGTCTTGGGGGGTCCATGTAGGCATGTATTCCATACATGGAGTGTATGGGTATGGTTAAATCCCCAAACCCTGGTGAATGTTTATTCCCAGGTTCCTGCGAGGCGCAAATCTCAGGATTCTGGTGGAGGATGGGCTCGATCCCCGTTTGCCCGACCCGGAGGAGCGATACCACACGGTGGCGTCCGAGATCTTCCACTCCGACCATCGGGTCACCTGCCGAAGTGACCACTGGGCATGCAATGCCTCGTACACCGGTGGTAAGGGACGAGGTCCCATCCAACAGCTGCGGGAGGTGGGACGAGTGGAGGCAGATGAGGTTCCAAGTGGAGGAAGCTCCAAGTGCTTACAGTTGTTAAAGCATTGGCTCCGACCGTACCAGGGCTTTTCCTATCATGTCATGGACATGGCACGACTGGTGACTGACCACGCAGTGCCATGTGCCACGATGATGCTGTGCATTGACTACTGCAATACTCATCAAGTTTCCTGGTTTTGCTTGAGGTGATTATATACTAGTTCCGCTATGGTTAAATCCCCAAACCTGGGGATTACTATATAATATATATATATATACTTTTATTTTCCATGGGTTTCTATGAAGCCTTATGCACATCCCAAGGTTTGTAGAGGCTTCACTTGCTCGTGGCATGTGGGCGCTTGCTACATCGCCATTGATTACACCCCTGCTTTCTCCAAAACCGGTCACAAGCTGGTTCCCGAGTCTACGACGCCACTTCCTGCGAAGTGGCGCACCATGTCCAGCCAATTTCATCAGAGATCATATATCAAGTGGGCATGGCCTTCGCAGGAGGAACGAGATCGAGCTGGCTACTATCAAATCTATTTTTTTCTTCATCATAAGGGCAGATCATCCATGACTCTGGAGGTGGTGAGGCAGATTGCAGCTCACCTACGGCTGTCCCTCGACCTGATGCAGAGTGTCCATCGACCAGACGAGTTGCAATGTGCTCGGGCAGACATCGGGGTGTTCTTTGTGACTCCGCCTCAGGTGGGTGTGGGTCAAAAGGTTCCGGGCCACCGGCACCTGGGTTTACCTACCCTGGTTTGACCCGAAAATCAGGGTGCCACCCACCGCCAGGTCGTCGCTTTCTTGGATCGTCACTGCCAACCCTACCGCGCGGTCCACATCCTACGAGATCCATTGGATTTGCTCACCTCCGCTTTCGCCTACCATCGGAGCATGGAATTGCCAGTGAACGACACGATCCCCGGGAGCCAACCAGCAGTCTTACGGCGGCTCTCGGTCCGAAGGGGCTTGCTGGTAGAGGCCTATGCAGAGCTGGGGCACACCTTGCATCACATGTTGCAGGTACAGATCCAGGTGCGTGAAAGAGCCTACTGTTTGAGTCTGTTTGGTGAGGATTTGGTCGAAAACTTTGATGCCACACTGCAGCGGATTCTGAAACTTGGGTCCTCGAAGTGGATGACCTTGTGACACGCCATGTGCTTAAACATATTATATAAACACCCCAAACTCACAGGTAGAATAGTAGACCCCTACATATCTCCATACTAAAAAAATCAAAACATTATTAAACATGTATTGAAAACCGCTTCTGTTTATTTGAGGATCACTGTAATGTCCGTTAAAGCATGACACGTTCCTGCGGCGGAGCATGAGAAATTGCCGTTTGGACCGGTGACCGGGAATGTGAGAAACCTATAGGAGGCCTGGCTTTGGTCATGTGGCCGAACCAACCTGTGACCCCCCAAAAAAGCAATGAGTTTGAAGAAGCCAAATTCCTGGATGTCGATAGGTTGTGGTTGTGCTTGGTTGAAAAGGTCATGAGATGATTTGTATGTCGGAACATGTTGCCCAACATGAAACATGATATCATATTCACTTCTTCGACTCGTTTGAGGAAACATCTAGTGCCTGGACTCTCCTGGCGTCGGCAGATTACCCTCAAGGCAGCGGCCGCCCAGCTGGACGGGCGCCGCTGTGGGAGCCCCACGCTGAGTGACACACGACTTCAGCCACGGGGACATCAGTCCTTAAAGGCCAGAGCGAAGAAAGCTGTTGGGCTCCTGAAGAAGCAGCAAGGAGAAAGGTTATAAGCTGTTGTGGTTTCAGATGGGTTTTGATATGTTTTGATTTCAGAACCCTTTTGCCAAGCAACCCCACAGGTAGCCAGCGCCCATTATAAACATTTACAGTTTTTTTTTCTCCCAGAATAGATGGCACAACCCCCAAGATGTCTTGTACGTAATATAGGGGTCCATATGCATCACCAAACTTGGGGATTGTGCCATCTACTCTGAAACCACTGTATGAGCGAAGTCTTATCTTAAATTATATAGTGTATGCTTCATTGTTTCCAATACAAGTTCAGTTCAGCCCAACTTGCCGAGGCAGACGCCTCCCATGAAGGAGATCCTCGACATCCGCCGGCTTTTGGGCTATGACAACCGGGTGGTGGGGCCCAGCAGGTCTCAAACACGACGTGCGGGTGACTATGGTGTGATTGATGGATTCAGTGGAGCGATCTTCGGAACCAACGCGTCGCTCCTCCAAGCAAGGAAACTTGGGTGGCGGTGGCAGATATGATATTGTTGTGTTAAAAGGTTATTTCAAGCTTTACTTGGGATGATTGAACCATCACTGACTTAATTTTGTCAAGTGAGTGGAAACCACCGACCAGGAAATGTTGGGAATGGAATGGGCATTACTTGCTTTTCGACCTCGGTATGGCAGACCGAACCACGAAAAGCATGCGTTGGAGTACAAGAGAATTGTTGAAGCTTTTCAGCTCCAAATGGCTGACAGCTTTGCTGAACTTGACTTTGGCGGGTGAACTGGTGGGTATTTGTGTGAACTTCGACCTGAACTGCTGCGAAGTGCAGGCTTCTTGGGACTTCCTCGCCCGTTTTCTCAGTGACTTGCTGGACTCCCCGCAACGGGCAGCACTTCCGCCGCCGTCCACGGCACGCATTCGAAGCCGACTGTGTTCACAGCCGGCATTTGAAGCCTTGGCGTCACTGCGGCAGTCTCTCCCAACATGGCTCGCCGAGCTGTCATTGCCCGCTCTCCAGGAGAGAATTGCTAAGTGGTATAATTCATATTTTATGATCAACATTTACCCCAGAGGGTTTGCAGATTTAGCATGTTCATAGCAATGTTTAGCATTATTTTAGAGAGAGAGATTGAAACGTGTTGGGGGAAAACATGTTAAGTGCATCGGAGCCACGCAAGTACCGCGGGCATTATTGTTATCAGTTTAATTGGCATTCGACTGAATAGTGACACGCATAGACATGCATAGACTAGACATATTGATCCAACTCAAGTTTGAAGGGGGTGTCTAAGTAGGGAAACCAAAGCATGTCCTGTCCTGTGTTGTTTTCGGAGCAGACAGGAGGAGCTTTTGAGGATGGGATCGCATCCAGAGTCTACGCTTTTGAAGACTGTGAGGACTGCACGAGCTTCATCATCGCGGGAGTTTGAGTTCAACATACAGGACTTGTTATAATTTTCACAAAGTGAAAGGCCAGGTGTGTTTTGCTCAAATTTGTTCCTTCCTGAACTCGAAGTTTTGTCGTTTTGCCAGTGGAATTCGCTGTGAAAGGATTACCTGGGAAACTCCTCATCATTTTGGGATTGAAGAAGGCTGTGAGCACGACTTGGGCAATCGTGGCCACCTGCTCAGAACGAGCAGCGTTGCCTTCGTTACCTTCCGGCGGTCGCCTGTAGCCTAGCTGTGCTTTCGGGTGCTTTCGGTCGTGAACACAGGAGCCTAGGCCGTCAGACTGGCGACCGACCATGATGTTTGCAGAGAGAGAACTTCAAATGCAAATGGATTGCATCAACGGTGTTTCCATGTGTTTCCTACGTGCTGCTGGGTGAATTTGCTTGGATTGAAAAGAAATCCCGGGTGAGCCGGCCAACCCAATGCACCACAGCTGGTCCGGTCGATGCTTGAATGGACATGCTCCTTGTCAGGGAGAAGGTGAAGGATATGGCAAGGCTGTGGCATGGTGTGGGTATTTCGGCTGAAATGAAGGCGCTGCATGGCACCGCTGTGTTCGCGCGAGCAATTTGGTGCAAACCTCACGAAGTCGGCACGATCCTTTGATCCTTTGGATCTCTCAAGACGTGCCAAAAGACGCGGCGCTTCGAAGAGCCGGATGGACGAAGAACATCCAAGAACCGCAGCCCTATGGACGTCCAGGCCCAACAGATTCTGAAAGGTCGATGCTGCCTTGGCTGAGCTGCTGCACTCCACAACGATGGGGTGGAGCAGCTCGGCCGCTGGACAACGTAGATTGCCCGTTCGGAAGCTGTTTGCAGCTGTTTATATACGGCCCGGATTACTCCGCGTGTTACCTTCTCCTGCATCCTTGAGGTGTTTTTGCTATCTAGATTGGTCCGAAATCCCTGATGTTCCCTGATAGGTCCAACGGTTGGAGGAAGAAAGATAAGAATGTAAAACATTCCCTAGAATTAGAAGTCCCAAGACGACATTTTTTCCCCATTGAAGTAAAGGAAGGTAAAGGATGTCCCATTACTGGGCTCACCGGAAGACCAGTTTAAGAATAGGACCATGGACTCCCAGAGCCCTGGTCATATTTGGGAGGCTGGGAGCTATGAACACAGTACATCACAGTACTATGTTCGGCCATTTTCGGTGTGTCTAGGGCGGTCTTTAAACCTTCCAATGATTGCAATGGCTCTAACCAGTTACGCCCATGGTTCCGTCGTCCACCATGGGTTTTTTGGGGTTGCACCGTTGCTCGAATCAGGTTTGCACCATGGCCGGGGTGCGGGGGCTTGGAGTCGGATGTGTATCTGAGGACTGGCGGCACCAGAGGAGCCGATGGCCTGAGGGTCAGGCCAGCCCAGAAAGAGTTGTGGGTTTGGTCTGTGTGGGTAGGTTGATACATGTTTCCATCGTTTTGGTGAGAACAGTTATGGTATGTGTGGCACAGAAAGTGGTCACAGTGGCATGCGGCAGACAGAGTGGCATGCGGCAGACAGATGTATTCAAGACAGACAGCAAGAGTTACTGTTGTTGCTGCTCCAGATCTCATGTGTTCAGCATTGAAGTGCTACTGTATGACTCCCAGCCCTGAAGCATCTGAAGCACAATGAAATGAGATGACAGGTGCATGTGCAGCGCCGCCATGTCTCTTAAGCTGTCCGAGCTGTTGTGGTTCACCACCCACCTCCAGTTCAAACCATATCCGAGACCATCCAGATTTACCTACATTGACCGCCAAAAATCACCCCAATGGCATGAACACATGGCAATTGAATTGCATACGCCATACATGGAGCGTTGGGGGTATCCTTTCCTTCACTTGTTACTTGTTTGCGTTTGCCGACCTTCACCGGCTTGGAGCTTCACCGGAGAAAAACCACCCCATTCACCATCTTCACCGTTCAGATGGGAACCATCCTGGGCTCCGGTCGGGTACAGACTCTGCGGAGCTTCACCGTCATCCCTTTACTTCGCTGGCTCCCTCGGAACATGGTCCCTCGGCCATGCATTGACTCCACCGTCAACCTGAGTCACCGAATTGATTCCAGCTTCAGAATGGGCGGCCAGGGTAGTTCCAATCTTTGGTCGTTCGCTGCCATTCGACCCGATTGAGATTCTTTCGCCTTCCTCCTTTTGCGCCAATGGACCCCTTCTTGCCGGTCGCGTGTGTGCGTGCCAGGACTGCTGTGGGCCATGGAAGGGCAAAGATTGTTGAACCCATGTTAGTTAGATGATGATGCTTTGTCCCCAGACCTAGTAACTATATATAGTAAAGAACATGTAATTAAGAACGACCCATGCAATTACTACAACAACAACAACAACAACAGCAACCACAACAACAACATTCCCCAAGTCATTCCCCATTGCACTATATAATTATCTCGTACTGATGGTTCCCCTTATGAGGAAGCTCCGTTTCAGACGACCATCACCTCTAGAGGAGCCTGCGCTGGTCTCACTGGGTCGCCCCCGTCTCACTGGGCAGTCTCCCCTGCAGAGCGGTGTCCGACACTGAAAGCGATGTGACGTTGACGGTGCTGCTGGTCTTGGCGGCCGTGCTATGGGTCACCATGTTGAGTAGTACTTTCGCACGGGAGTCGGCGAACGTGCGAGCGAACCGTGGGCGAGACCGGACGTGGAGAGCGCTGAGCTGTTGGTTTGTTTGTTTGTCCGGAGAGCGGGTCCAGCCCAGCTGACGGGCCACGTGTGCAGGCTACATTGATGGTGTTTGACTATTAAAGTAAGACTGCCCGTGGCTTTGTGTTTCCTGCAAACACATGATTATACAATATTATGCAGTTCTTATCCAAGCTTATCTATTCTATCGCAGGAATGGCTGATGCAAGCAAACAATACGTGCTGCAGCTTCTGTTTTCTTTGCCCAGGATTTTGCACCGTCCAAGCTTCAAACCTGCCAAGGTATTGCCCTACAGTTGGGCGGGGCGGAGCCTGGTGTGGAATCTACTTATTGGTGGATGGGGGATGAGAAGCCAAAGAAGCCCTCTCGGCGGCGTGCTCGATCATTGGACTAGCCACAAGGTCAGAAGATGGTAAAGCCCCGCTGGAGCCGCTGGAGAGTTCATGGAAGGCATCCTGTGGCTTATGGTCTTGGAACCGATCCGGATTGCTTGTAGTTGCAGTGAGGACGACCGCCGAGAAACGCACGGCATCAACGATGTGAAAAATGAAACACATCGAAGTGGCTTGCCCACTTTTGTTCGATTGACACATGCCGGAAAGCTTACAAAAAATAATGCCCTTGGCCACCCTTGGCGGTTGGCCGTGTTTTGTATTTTTTTTTCAGAGGATGTTTGTGCCTACGGGTGTAAAACCGAACGTGTGTTGATGCTACGTGAAAGGTGGGGGGGTTGGGTTGGGGTGGGGTGAGAACATTGTCAGTGTTTTCACGACAAGTAATCTTCGGTTTCATAGCATTGTCATCGGTTTCATAACATTGTCATCGATTAGTCATGTGATTAAAATGGGGTGGGGGGGTGGGGGGGTTGTGATGGAATGAGGATGTGGATGTCGTGCTGAGAACATTGTCATCGATTTCACGACAAGTAATCTTCGGTTTCATAGCATTGTCATCGGCTTCATAGCATTGTCATCGATTAGTCGTGTGATTCGCGGATGGCAGTGGCGTTGGGAAAACACCACGTGTACTAACTTGTGCAAAAAACTGCGCAAGTCTACTTGAGACAGGACGCATGAAAGTTGAGGACAGCCCGGGACAAAAACGGCAACGGATTTTGCGCTGGCGCTTGGGTTTCGGCAGATTCGGCTTTAACAATGAAAGGATCCGGGACCCCAAAAAAACATCATCGAACAAGCAAAAGTACTGAGAGGGCTTGCACTTTTGAATCAACACTTGCACGACTACACGTACGATTCCACACCCGGCGGGATGTTTGTGCTGTACAAACGTTTTATCACTCCGAGGCTGGTACAACAGTGCTGCCTGAGAGCAGGGTTCCTCTGCCATGTTTTCATCATTCATGGGGATGTGCTTGCACCAGTGTCCCATGAAATTCGCGGGGCAGTAGATGTTCAGCACCTGAACAGATTGAGCAATCTGAAAGCTTTGCTTCGTGTCATCGTGGGTTGAACATGTCAACATTTGATTCTTGGCACGAAGAAGAGCTTTCATCCTTGGACCTGCCTGTGTGGACAGGCAGATCGAGGCGCCTTTCAGCAACTCTTCTCCTTGCCAATGGAGCGTGGCACGGTTGGAAGACGAAAGAAATCCGGAAACCGGAAACCACCTGACCTCGATTGACATCAGAATAGGACAGAGAGAGAGAGAGAGAGAGGCGGAGAAAAGATAAAACGCACACAAAAATGCAAGAAGGAGGGAGGGAGAAGAGGAGGGAGAGGGAGAGGGAGGGAGAGAGCGAGAGAGAGGGTTGAGCTTTACCTTGTGCATGATTTGAGATGACCTCCCATAAGTGTCAGAAGAATACGTATGTTTGTTCTCAGTCCACATCATTGTCGACCACTCATACCTCTTTGTTCCTTTCTGCATGATGTTTGGATGTTAGAACAAGCTCCCCCAATGAGCCAGTCACCCTGCCCATATTCTTCATTGACACGGACTCTATGGCTTGCTCTCGCTGACTTGAGGACATGTTGTTTTGTGAAACAGTTGATGCCCCGTTTGGGATCCCTGCGCCCACCATTGCGGGGACCTCACCCTGAGGTCAAGGTGCGTTGACCTCCAAGGACGCGTCGTGACCGTGAGGGGTGTCGCTGGTACGGACATGTCCGGGAGAACGGAGTAGGCATGGGATGAGGGAAAGAGCATCTCAGGGCTGTGGGTTGGACAAGAGCTCCTTGATATACAACACCATAATAGGCTATATGTGTTTTTTTCTCGCTGGCCATGTCAATGTTCATGATATTGCCTTGATTGTTCATGCGTGTGGCCATCGATTTCGCCGTGGCAGCCGCTGCATCGTTTCGAAAGGGGATCAGTCCAAATCAGCGATCGCTTTGTCGGCCGACACCACGTGATCCCAGACAGAACACCCTGGGTCGCAGGTGCGGCTGGTGAGGACGTGTAGCTCCCCAACCATGATCTCCGCCAGGACTGGAACCAACGTGTAGCTCCAAAAGGCACATCGGTGAGGTGGTGAATGAAGGAGGAGATCCCAGACACTCCATGAAAAAAGAACAAGATATAAAAAGCTTTGCACTTGCCGATCGGTTATTGAACACGCGATGCCTATTCTTGGCATGCAAGGCATGCGGACACGGACCGTGGGACGTCGGCACAAGTAGAACCGATCAGTTGGGGGGACAGAGCCATGCCCCATCGTAAGCGCCCGAAAAAAGCACTGCCTTCCGTGCACCATGGAACCCATCTCTGGGGCGTTTGGGGCACATGTTGCCGTACGTAGGGTGTTTTTCTTCCGCTGTGACACATCCTCAGGAAAGAATCTCATTGCCTTATCTCAACTTATCTCATTGAGTTAATTTAGGATTGTATCATGTCTCTGGGTGCACAGTGCATAATTACATATAATTACCTATAATCTCCTGGCTCCAGTCACCTTTTGCGGACGCCACACCAGTTGGATCTCCAAAGTTGAGAGTGGCCTGGCGGCATGTATGCATTTGCAGAGACAAAGCAGTGTGTTTGGGGAACTCTTGAAGGTGTCATGTTCTAAGAGCCCCCGCGCAGTAAAGAAAAGACTCCGCGCATTCAGGTCGTCCATGATACGCTGTTGGCATCGATGGTTGTTTTTCCTGGCTTTGTCCATGGCGGAACGCTGTGAAGAGGACAGCTCGTTGTTGCTGGGCCATGATTCCTTTGTGATACAGTGCTGTAAGACCGTTAGAAGTTCTGGTGACTAGGTTCAATTGTTTTGGTGTGCGCGATGTCCAGAAAACTCTGGGCATGCACAAATGTAAGCAGCAAGCGGGTGCCTTTGGTGGTGATAAATGCTTTGATCGACAGCCTGCAGTGTTTTTACTTATGAGCCCTCAGCCCGCCTCCAAATGCCTCCAGTCCTCAGGACTATAGGTGACTACTGTTCGGCCTCCATGTGTCCTGTTTGTCCCGTTGGGAACATGCCGAAAAACGGGTCCTGCGGGCGGGTCCAAGGCTTCAGACACGATCCGATGGAGCTCTACAATCGGGGCAACGGCCATGCGAAGCGGAGCTACGACCATGCATGTTCAAGCTTTGCATGCCAAATGATGTCCAAACACGCCGAGAGAAAAAAGACAAAAAGGTAACCTGGACCCTTCTAACTTCGAACTCACCCCAGATATATATATCCTCAAGAACCACCTGTTTAGAACCTGTGGCTCCCTCAGGCAATGTTATGCCAATGGTGTCCAGTGTCCAGGATTGTTTCCGAGATCTGACTCTTCAACTGTGACTTTCAACATGACCTCCTTGTGCGTCCATGCTTTCGGCTTGTGAGGATCTGAATGCTATCAATGGTGAGGGATGGTGGATGGTGGACGTCACTGTATTTCCACTCGGTGATTCCACTTGGCACACATCCTTTGGGAATGTTGGAAAAAACAGACCGAAGCCTCAGAACTCAACGATCGTCAACGAGTGCTACATTGAGATACATGGAGTAAATGGCTCAGTCAACAACCCCAGGTCAACTCAACTTAGATGGAGTATTCTGGAACTGTGTTTGTTAAGCCTATGTACTGGGATGCTCAAGACCCTGACTTCTCAGAGGACCATGAACCCCGCTTTTCAGGACCTCAATGCCCTGAGCTTCACCAGCCTCAGTTGCAAAGGTTTTAGCTGCAGTGGTGTTCAAGTGGAGCTGACCCAAGACTTGCACTGCACCTCCGACTCCACGAACCCGCCCGCCACCTGTGGCCACGGCAACTTCTCCTTCGTGGCGGATCAGATGCGAAGGGAACATGTGGTCAAGTGTGGCGGCTCCGCATGTTATGCTGCCGACTTCAGCTTCGCTCCTGGGCACGTTTGTTTCGTTGGGGTGGCTGCGTTTCGCCGGGCAGCGGGCTGGCGGCTTTGTGGCCAGGTTTATTAAAAGGCATCTAACGTCCTAGGGAAACAAGATACCAAGAAAACGTAGTACATTAGAAAAAGACGATTTTTGTTAAAGGAAAAGACAATGTTTTCCAACATGTGCGTTTTGGATCTGACAGCACGCACCTGAATTTCGGACACAAGTCACCAAATGTCGACCTCACCAAGAACACTTTTCACCCGGATCGAGAGTGAGCCTTCAACATGCAGCCAGGAGCCTAAGAACTCACAAATGGCATCTGGTTGTCAGGGATGCCCAAAAAAAACATAGTTTTAGTACGGGTTAGTACGGGTTCCGTACGGATTAAGTATGGGTTCTCAAAACACAATGTTTTTTGGGGCAGATCGAAAATACGGGTTCCGTATGGGTTATATAGTACGGGTTAAGTACGGGCTCCGTACGGGATAAATACGGTGTCTTATGTTTTCAGTGAAGGCGCCCTCCAAACTCACAAAAAGCCTATCTCATTTTAAATTACCAACACAGATGGAAGAATCGGAAGAATGCTCGACATTTGGTGACTTGCGGATCCATTAAGGTCCCACGGCACTCACCTGAAAGCAAGATCCGGGAGACAGGTGTTTGTTTGTGGTAGCCGGAGCTATTCTTCAGTGGTTTTGCCAAAAAGACGATCTTTTTTCAAGAAAAGACAATGTTTTCCATCTCTTCCCTAGAAAAAGCGATGTTTCATCCAGGAGCCTACAAATTGTTAGTGTTTTGCTTCTCTAGGTGCATGTAAATGAATGATTTAATAGATTGAAATTTTCAAATGGGAAATGCTGGGGCGTAAGAAAAACACTTTTGGATCTTGATTTACAAAGTTCCAAAAACTTTTGAGGGAGAGTCTATAGGAAGAGGTCACTGAGCTCACTCAACAGTTCCAGGGGGTACAGGAATTGCTTCTGGCAAGGTAGCACAAGGACCTGCTAGGAATTTAGGAATTCATGTCGTTGTGGTTGTTGTTGTTGTTGTTGGTGGTGGTGGTGGTGGTGGTGGTGGTGAGGGTCGAGAAAAGGAAGAATCAATAAAGACCTTTATAAGAGACATAAAATGAATACATCCAGAAAACACGAAAATACTGTGTTATTTCAATCCCCTGCAACAACTCGTGCCCCTTTTTGCACATCAGGTGCCCACGTTACATCGTATATCTCGGTCCTAGCGTGCCTGCCAGGTTTCCTCCAACATTCGCTTTACCTGCGACTCCAACGGCTTTGACTCTTCGGGTGCTTGCAACAGGTCCAGCATTGCATTGTTGGAATCCAAGACGTGCTTGGACCTCATTTGCGGCGAGAATGATTGCAAAGGTGAGGGCTTGGATGCCTGGGCGGCATGTAATGTGGCAGGAAAACCATGCAGTCAAACACGGCGTTTTTCACAAAAGACCACGTGTAGTAGCGCTAAATAAATTGGTGCGACCAGTTCCAGCTTAGGGCCAGTCTTATCCGTTTTTGATCACCGTCCACTGTTGCTGGGGGCGAAATGTTTGTTTGTTTCTTTTGAACTTTTTGGAGTATTGCACAATGCTCCTGCAATATCTTTTTGGGGGGGGCCCAGACACATCACATGGTGGTCGGAACGCCCATGTGCGACACCCATGTCACCCAAGTGACGCGGATGGTGTTTTTTCAAAAGCGCTGAGGACCAGATTCGTGTACGCATCACTGACCCAGAAACCTCCAAGTGCTACTACCAGGGCCCGGAGCATCGACGACCCAGCATGTGTACTGCCACGAAGTCCCATCAGTGCCCAACAACTTCGCGAGCACGACCGTGCTGCAAAGACGCTGAAGAGACGGATTGTGCAGAATGCTGCACCATCAGGAGCTTAGGGTCAGGATTTATACAAGCAATTGCCAGAGAACGCGCAATGGGCACAGATACCATCACAGCCACTCCCACAACGACCATGTATACCTCCATTACCCAGATACTACTGAGAACCACCAGCTCTACATCTGCCGCCACCACCATCACACAGATCCAACTGACCACCACCACCAGCACAGCACCCCCCACCACTGCAGCTCCAACGCCGCGTCGTGAACGACGCGCCAAACGCCGAGCGCAGCGGCGACAGCAGCGCCAGGCGAGGAGGCGGTGACAGCCGGGCCCACGGAAGCTTCCAAAGCTTCAGTGACCGAAAGGGGACGGTTCGACCGAAAGAACCCGCCTATATACCCCCCCAAAAAAGAAGGTTCCTTGCTTTGAAGGTGAAGGAGGTCCCCCAGTATGGGCCCTCCTACGTTCGATTGAGCGAGTGAAGAGGATCAATGCACCGGACTTCCCACAAGTGGACGCGAGAAAAGGCGAGGCTTGCTGCTCCAGTCCCTCCAACAAAGCCTGGAGGATGGGATACCTATCAAAAAGAAAATGGATTCCAATTCCTATCAATAAAAAAATTGATTCCTATCAAAAAACATTAATGCATATCAAATATTCCCACTACTCCTTTGGTCCTGGTCTGCTGGTTCCCTGGTCGCTTGGTCCTTTGGTCCCTTTATCCCCTGGTCCCTTGGTCGTCTGGTCCCTTGGTCCTCTGTTCCTTTGGTCCTTCGTCCTGGTCTTCGGGTCCTTGGGTCTGTACTTTCGATGCAAGACGCGTTCAAGGTGATTTGGACATTTGGTCATACATCCTGTGAAGCATTGTAGCAGACCTTGTATCACCAGACGTAGTAGACCTTTCTTGTGGGCCACCCTGACGGTAAAATGTAGACGAAGAAGGTGCCATTCCAAGGTAGCAAGCCTTTGGTGAGCCACCTGAGGGCAACATTTAGAAGAAGAAGGAGCCGTTCCAACGTTGCAGACCTTTTGTTAGCCTTGCGAGGTTTAAACTTAGAGGAAGAAGTTGCCATTCCAACGTAGCAGGCCTTTGTTTTGTGAGCAGCCAGGTAGAGATTGCTATTCCAACGCAGCAGACCTTGTGTGAGCCACCCGGGGATGAACTTTAGGTGCCACGCCAAGGTAGCAGACCTTTTGTGAGCAAACTTTAGAATTTTAGAGGAACAGTAGACCTTTTGTGAGCCACGCAATCTCAACTTCGAGGTTCACGAAGTGCTGCGCCTGCCATGAAATCTGCAGTTCCAGTGCACAAAGTGCTGCGCCTGCCGCGGGCCCTGCAACTGAAGGTGCTCAATCTGCAGTTCCAGTGCACAAATTGCCGCTCCTGCCACGAAACCTGCTACTGGAGGTGATCAAAGTGCTGTTGCCTGCCACGAAATCTGCGCTTCCAGTGCGCAAAGTGCCGCTCCTGCCACGAAACCTGCTACTGGAGGTGCTCTAAGTGCTGCGCCTGCCACGAAATCTGCACAAACTCTTCGTGAAGTGATATTTTGTGTTTGATACCAATTAATTCTCTTTGTGATAGGATATCGAAAATGTTCTTTTTGATACTGTATATTATTTTGTTTTATGTTCTTTTTGATAGCCCAGCCCTGGAGGACTTGCTTGAGCGTTCTCATGGAGGACTTGGTTTCATGGACTTGGAACACTTGGTTTCATGAAGGACTTGGTTGGTCGGTTGGGTGGGTGTCCAAGTCTTCAGTGTGTTCCCTACGTGGCGTTCCGGTCCCCAAGTCACCTTCAGGTGGCCAGGCGTCATGCGGGTCAACATGTGCTTCGACCCCCAGCGGCGAACGAGGGTATTCGGAGGCGAACAAACACATGTTGTTTCCATCGCTATTATATTAGTAACAAGAAACTACTAGTAGTTTCTTGTTACTCATAGCGATGGCCTCCAGCCTACTTTGCGATGACCTCCACCAAATAGCGTCCTTGCTACTAGCAATAGTTTTTTTCTCCCAGCTGTTGGGGAGACTGCGTTCTTTCTGTTTCAGCTGCTTGTCCAAGTTAGATGTGCAAGATGAGGTCACAAACACCAAGGCTTGGCATGCACGGGACAACTCTTCGCAGATTATGGGGACACGTCGGACACGTGCTGTTTCTCCAGCCGTTGTATGTGCATGCAACATCATGTTACCTATGGTGCACAACGCCCCCCTGCTTAACCAAATAGATAGATATAGACAGATAATGTAGAGTTAAAACATTTGGAAGCATGACAAACACCAAAGCAGACACACCCAGACACACGCTATATAGTCAAATAGTTATATACAGTTGTTTACTAGAGAACAACATTTATATATATAATATTTATATAGATACAATTACACATCCTGATGACTTTCCTACACACACACACCTTGTTCCAGCTCGTAGCTTTGCTTGTGATGGCAGTGTGGGTGGCCTACACTGTGGTGGCACTGCTCATCGCGATCCAGAATCGAGCCACCTGGGTTGACATGAATCTTCACACCGTTGGGGACCAATCACTTCATGGAATTTCAAAGGTAGACCAACACGTTGAAAGGACTCCTCTCCACAATGTTGATTGCGTTTTGCACGCCTTGCCCAGAGAAATTCCCCCATCATGTTTCAGCCAGATCATCATTGCCAAACGTAACTCCCATGTTTACTAGCACCGGTGAAAAGACCTCGACAGACCCAAAGGACTTACATATGTGTCTTTCACCTGAGGAGTTCTTGAGCTTTGACCAGAGTCTACTGCTGATTTCCTGGCCTTCCTGTTGTGCTTACCGACTATCACAACGCAAGAAGGATGGCCGCAAGAAAGTAAAAGCGTCCGGGGAGAAATGGGCAGCACGACTGCTCCAAGCCTGTGCGCTTCTGCCGCTTGGCCAATGAAATTGCTTGTGGAGGAGGAGGGCATCATAAGATGTTGTAAGTAGGGTTAGCTGGTGGCGATTGTCAGTACCAATACCTGTGGAACTCGACGAGCCTGACCCCTGAAACATTGGACGTGGAAACCTGTGCGCTTGTCACTTCATCCATTTACGCTGATGACTGTTGAGAGTTGGGTCCTTTTTGGGGTTATTGTTGTGTAACTATTCCATACATGAATGGTTTGGGTAGCACCACCACTTTGACGTGCATTGTTCTCTACAATTGCATTGGACTGTCTCAGAGACTAAGCAGCCCTCAATATGCCTCGATGGTGTTTGATCTATTTTGTCGGGTGGATGTTTCATTGACAGGAGTGCATCCAAATACATCTACAGCAGTTTCGGAGTAGATGGCACAAAACCCTACATGTCTTGTAGATGGTTGTCCATATAAACAACCGGTTAGGAACTGTCATCTACATCCACTGTAACGGAAATACAAGCAGGCAGGCTTTGTGTGACTGTGGATTGTGGATGCTGCGATCCTTGGTCATGAAGAATTCATCGTTGCGAACAACCACGGTGGAGCATGACGACATAATTTAGTCCCAATGATTCTTACACCAGGGTGGAATCCCAGACGTTTCAAGGTAAGGCATGTCTATACAGCTGATCCAAACCCAAAAGTCATTCACACCTAGAACATCCTGGAGCTGAGGAGTTCAGGGAGTATGCTGGCAAGACATTTCTTGGAGCTTCCCTTGAATGCTACTGCGGTGCTCCCCTGGGCCTCGCTCATGTCCTTGGCATACATGACGGTCCCAGTTCCCGAGTGCCTTGGCATCAAGATCTCCTTTGATATTTATTGTGTTTCCTACTACCTGTAAAAGTAAGGAAGCAATTATCACACATCACTATTTTTGAACAAGGCCTTTACTAACCATCATCATCCACTGCTACTGGTAGATATCTACCTGAAGAACCCTGTTTGGTTGGGAGAAGTTGAAGACGGGTTGTGTCTCGGGGGGGCAACGGCATCAGTTTGAGACATGTGTTTGACAGGGTAAAGTCAGTTTTTGGGCTTCAAGCATGTACAAGCATCCTGTACAGCTGTAGCTGGCGAACGTAGACTCAGAAAAGAAGCCAACAATTCCACAACGACCTTGCTTGGTCTGAATCATGACCATGAAGCCATGCAACCATTGTCCAGGATGCCTTTGGACGATTTCGTCCCATGGTGGTCACTGTTTGTGATTCTAGTGGCAAAAGTTGTTGGTACCGAAGAGATGCGTACAGCACTTGGTCTTCAAGCAGGGCGCCTTGATGGGGGCCCTTTGGCATGGTCGATCTTGTACCTTGGAGCAATTCATGCCTTCCTGTCTTGTTCAAGCGCAGGGTTTGGACATGTGACGACTGAGTACCTTTATATCTCATCATATATCACTTCATATATCATATATCCCAGAATGGTCGAGACATCAACCAGTCTTTTGGGAATACAGCAGGAGCATTGCACCAAATGCCTTTTGCTGTTTCTGCCATCGTTGACCTTCTTTGTGTACGCATAGAACCCCGTGAGGTGTGCGATCATCTCCACCTTTGCGTTGGTTGGATGGTCTTGCTATGTACGAGGTGACCACGGACCAATACAAAACGCATTGGCACCATTGATGTCTCCGGTTACCGTGTTCCCCTTTGCAGTGCTCAACGCGCTGCGAGACTTTTGGCAGAAAATTGCCTGCCAATTTGCTGACCAACAGTCCGTCAGAACAGGTGCATGATACAAAATCTAAACTCCCAAACAAAACGGATGAAGATCCTGGGCTTTCCACTTCAACTTCTGCTGTTCTTAAGGGATTTGCCAACCTTCATTCCAGAGTCATGGGTTGTTTCCGAAACGGCGAGAATAGTTGACAAGCTTTTGTCGTTGAATGACTTAGCTCTGCTGTATTCTCCAGACACTGGATGGTGTGAGGCCAATTTACATGTGCCACTGTCCATGTGTGTGTGTGTGTGTTAGTATAGATGCCTTTGCTTTGTCCCCGTTCGAGACAGGTGTTTTTCTGAAACAGCTAGGAGCCAGGAGCGAAGTCGAGGGGCAGCTTTGAGGGGTAGGGCCGGAGAGTTCTTTCTTCCACTCAACTTGGTTGGGTCCAAGCATGGCGCTGTTTGGCCTTCCGGAGGCCTCCATACCCCATTCTTCTACTGTGGGCCAACACCTAAGGGCCTAAGGGCTTGGGCCACTGGTGAAGAACATCGATCTTCCGTCGCCAGTCCACCCAGCACCGGTCACGCTTGGGCCAGGGGCGAACACCTCTGATTCGGGCGTGGCTCCGTTCCAGCACCGGTTCGATCGACCGAGGAGGAGCTGCAGTTCCGCATGGTCTTCTTGGGCGCCTTGAGCCTTAGACGTCGGTCTAGTGGCGGTCCTGACTGAGGAATCAATGGACTGGTTCAAGGCAACATCGTAGAGGAAACTGCGGTTTGAATCCCCCAATCTACGGGTTTTCTGTAGATGTTCCTTTAAACCGGTTCTGGGAAGGAAGCCGCTCATCGTTCGAAATCTCCGCGTTACAAGGGTCAGTCTAGCTGGGCTTTTGTATTTTGATGAGCAGAGGCGGCCGAAGAACTAGAGACTCCGCAGACCAGGCGACCCATGGTGAAGATGGGGCGAAGTCTGGCAAGCTGAGACATGAGTCACGTGCATGCATGAGTCTTGTTCAGTCCAGTCTTGTTTTGATGAGAAATTTACAACTTGAAGCAGGGTTGGTCCTGATCTAAGGATTGCTGGTGAAGCCTCCAAGTGCATTCCCTTGATGGCCTATCAAATGGCAGTGCACTCGGGCTATTTCGCCTTGTTGCATTTCTTAGGCGGCTTCCCCACTGGCAAAAGCGGCTTCCCGGTCAGCAAAAAGACTTATACTCTAGTTGTTGCGGGGGACAGCGTTTGGGCACCATGGAGTGGGAATCCAGTGTTGGGCCTTGATTGTTGGATCGTCCCTGGTTCTTGCCAGGTTGAACCTATACTTTTAGAGTAGAGAAAAGCTGCAATCGAAAGGATCGCAAAGGCTCAAAACGTCGAAACTGCCGTCTGAGGTTTCGCTTTGGTCTTCACTTGGTCCCTCTTTTTGGATCTCCTGCGAGTCTGGAGTGGTGGGATGGCCTTCGTCTTCTTGTTGCACGTGCAGGCGGATGTGGCGATCTTCGTGCTGGTTTGGTTGGAAGATCAACGGCGCAAGGCGCGTGCGGAGTTGTGAGAGGTGCGATGATGGGCGAGGCTGCAGAGGATCAACTTGGGTCGCCGCAGCTACGGATTGAGTTAGCTTATGGCGCGAGCTTTAAGTGATTTCCAAGGCGTGAATCACTGAAGCACTAGTTGAGATGAAAGTGTCTGGAGGTTGTAGGACTTCGCCCGTGGACATGTGTTCCAAAGACCAACTGACGCCTCGATCAGGAGGCTTTGTGTGTTTCTGGGAGCCACCGGCACAGCTCCACGGGTGGAATCCATTTCCCTTCCACCAAGCTTCCCATGGTGCAGTGGGGATAGGGCTGGGATGGAGCTTGGGATGGCGCGAGCGAGCATTTGTTTGGGGTCCAAGAATCACAGCAGATGGCCAGAGAGTCGAACCATATTTAGAAGATTTAGAAGTCTACTCTCCTTATAGTGGAAACCTGGTTGTGCAGACAAGTAATGTAAAAACAGGTTCATGTTCCACTTCCCTGGTTCTGAGTGACACTGTAGGTGACACACTTCTCTTTCGAACTCATCCTTTGGATGACACTTCACCCCAATGCTTGTGATGTGTGCAGATCTGGAGCGATGCTTTCGTCACGAAGGTTCAATGATGTTCAATGATTTAGTCACTTCAAGCTGGGAGTTTGACGGAACATGGTGTTCGTTACTGATTTGGAAAGCCACCTAGCTGATTTGCTTTTGATAGAGGTGCAGGAAATAAAGGATCGTCATTTTTGCAGAGGGGCCCTGCCATTTGCTTCATGTGACTCGCACTTCGTGCGCAGGATGAGGTGACACGTCACATCGAGACAACCCAGAAAGAACTCGCATGTCTCGAAAGAACTCGCATGTCTCGAAGACCATGTGACCATTGGTGACCATTGACAAACCCCTCCCAGGTGTCGTCAATAAGTCCAACTGTCTCCAAGCGAGCGCCCCTTCCTCCTCGTGTTTGGGTGTATCACACTGAGTGCGCAGGTTGGATGCAGGAGTTGATGCAGGTCCCAGCAGGGTGGGTGCTGCTTGGCATGTGTTTCTCGGGGGGGGCTTCCGGATCCTGAACAACAAGATTCAGTGGAACTTTATGAGTCGTTTGTAAGGATTGGCGTCAAGGTTGATTACCCTACCTGGGGGCTGGGCCTCGAAAACCCCGCCCACCGATGTTGATGCACGACCTTGGGAGTTTGGTCCGCCAGGCAGTTCTGCTGAAAGGCAGCCTATGGGAAGGCGCCCAAACATGCCTGGCGTCGCCGAAGTGCCGCGACTTCGCGAGCTGTCCCGACCTTTGTTGCCTCGTTGTGACCTCGTTTGTCCCTCCAAAGACTTGGAGTGAAAGGTTTTGCAGGTGACCAAGGCTGACAGGGCTTTCAGGAAAAAGTGACCCCTCGAAACACTCTGAGAGGGCTGGGGCTGGGCTTGGCCACAAAGGCTGGATATTGGAAGTCTTTGGTAACAGATGGGTTGGTGCCTGCTTCAACATGGAAAGAACGATCGGTAGTGCGGGTCGTAAAATAATGCTCCTCCAGTGATGATTGACAACATGTTTTTCCGGTTCCTTGTGTGCCAGAGGTAGCCGACAGACAAGTAAACGCCTCGTGACGAATACATGACTGTCCAGTAATTGGATTTTGTTGCTTGAAACTACGTACTTGAAGCCAATATTACTCGGCTTGCACCCTTTCCAGACAAATTGACATTGACCCCTGGGAGCCTGACAGCTAGCATGCCCAACAAAGAGAAGGTGTTGGATGCGTGTTGGTTCTATCGACCCCGTATCGATCCTGCAGGTCTGGCGACGGAGGTAGGCAAGTGGGTGTTTGGTAATAATAAAGGCATTTTGCTTTTTCTCTCCCCAAACAGTGTTCCTGTGTGACATAATGAAACTCTCCACAAGTATGAACAAGTACATTCATGATCGTTATCATTCATGCAATCTAGCTTCTATGTAAATTATATACCAGCTGCTTCCACCGGGTCACCAATGGACAACCCTGCACTACTTATAGGTTTCCATTGGGCACCCATTGGAAGTGCTATGTAGATGCATTTCTTGGAACATGTTTTGGGACTCCCCTCGACCCACTCAAACAAAGACACAGTTGATGGGTCATCGATCTGATGTGCCAGTGAGCAAGGCAGCCCTGGAGCCTTGCATTGCTCCCCGCCAGAGGCAGCTTTGGGTTTGGAGTATTGCATATATGATGCCATGGTGTTTTCAGAGCAGTTTGCAAAATTCATAAACCGGGGGACCTATGGCAGAGGTGCGCAGACCTGGCTACAGGCACAACAGTTGACGGACACGTAAAGTGAACACAGATGTTCAGTTGAATTTGCTCCGGCGACAAAAACATATTGTTGCCATTTGTTGCCCATTTGTCATGGATCCCAACTGCTTAGAGGGTTTTTAGCCAAGTTTGTTTCTGCAACATCGCAGCAATGGCTTGAGTAGCGAGTAGTGCAGCATGCATGTCAGGGACGCATCGGCCTACAATGACAGACACTGGCACTCACAGATTCGCCCGACCCCGACCCCTGTGACAACAATGCATTTAGGCTTCCCTCCAAAGCATGCATAAGAAGAGGTATAGTTACATTTGGGAGCCGCGTTGACTTCTCAGCGGTTGTTGAACAGACCCGCAACAACAATGTCCTCATCCTAACGACATTCACAGCCTGCAAGTCACAAGCGCTTCACTGCCTGCCTGGTTGTTGAAGTTGATGCTCCAGACTTGTTTCATCGTATTGACCATGTCGTTTTATGGACGTGTCAAACTCTGCAAAAACATGGAGCCATGCCCCACGCCTTTTTCTCTCCAGAGCGCTCGGCCACTGCCCGCCGCGCTGGCCGGCGGGACGGGCATGAGACGGTGTCGCCCTCCCCGTGTCGAGTCTGCGAGACGTCGCGATGCGCTGGCTGCTTTCGTTTGCACCGGCGCTTGGCGCTGCTGGAAGAGCAGAAGGCGGAGCTGAGCTCATATGCGGCGGCGCAGCGCGAGGAGTTGAAGTACCTGAGGGAAAGGCATGAAAGGAGCCGAAGGGGCTTGCGGAGCTGGGCTGGTGGTGAGATCTGATCCGGCCCTTTTAGGGGCAGAGGCAGGACAATCTGATTTGTTTTGCAGTGGTGGTGGTGCTTTCTTGGAGCCAAAGCAGCATATAAGCCAAGTTTAAGTCATGTGTGTTGAGTCGTGGTGGATGTTGAGCCCGGCAAGCTGAGCCCGGCAAGCTGTGCACAGGTGCATCATCGCTCCAAACATTGGAACTGGACAGCCTCGGTAGAAATTGCTTGGACAACCAGGGCCGTTTCTGTGGGATAGAAGATCAATCTTCCAGGTATTGGTGCATCACGACCTTCCCTACAAAACATGGAAGCTTGTAGAGGAGATATGTCTTCCAAGGTCCAAGACCATGTTCATCAACTTTCCACTTTCCACTTCAAGGTTTGTTTGTGGGAGGGCAGCCGTGTTTGCTTCACGGTCCGCCATTAGCTCCCACAGGAGCTCTGTGCATGAGCGTGAGCGGCTGGAAGCTGAAAAGCATGGACTGCAGGAGATCCTGGAGTCCTTCCGCACAGGGGCAGAGCGGCAAAAGAAGAAGGAGTGGCAGAAGGAAAAGGACCTAGGGACTGGGGAGTCATGAAAGAGGTTGAGTGACATATGTCCAATTTGGGCTGCTCTGATGAAGGAAGTTGAAGCCCTCCCACAAAGATGGCTTGCGAGGAGCCAACATACATGTGTAGGGTTGGTCTTTGGCCCTTTGAAGGTTCACTTTTTGGGGGTGGTTTGGAAAGGGTTGCGTTTCTTGTAATCCCGATGTGCAAATGGTTATCACACTTGACCTTCACAAAACGGGGTATGTTTTAAAGCACCTACCACTCACGTTGTCTTGTGGCAATATCGGTATTGAGGATTGCTGCTTGAGCATTTGTTTCGATCTTTGGGTGCTGGAAGACATGGCGCATCCAGCTGGAGACCATATTGGGTAATTCAGGACGCCTTCCCATTGACCTTATAGGACCCGTCACCTAGGGTACCTATCCGCCACTCCGTGGGACTGGCAGATTGACATACAGAACCGAGTGGTTGAAAAGGGGTCAATGTAGAAGGTAAATATGCCATACACGGAGTGTTTGGGTATGGGATAGTCCATAGGGTTCTTCAACCTCTGGAACAACCCCACATGATGTTTCGAGACGCCTTTCCTTGTTTCCAGGAAAGCCTTTTGGCGGAGCTGGCGAAGGCCACTTCTCAGGTGAAAGCCTTGGAGGAAGAAGAAGAGAGGCGACCAACCTGAGACGTGTTTCATTCACTCTCCTCAGCCAGATGTCCTGGCTAAAATGATCCTGATTTGGAATTGAGCCAGGAGTTTGGAGGGGCATATATGGATGTACTGATGTACTTGACAAAATCTCAAAGGCTTTTGATGGCTCTCGGTGGCTAGTGTTCTCCTGACTCTTCTTTCCTTTTGGCTCCTGTAGATGCTACTTTGACCAATAATGTACCTGCATCGCCCTGCATGGCCCTGCATCCCACCTCCCCGAACATGTCCCAACAATTCCTCACTTCCATCACCTATCCTCGCGTCTCCGGAGGCGCAAGGACAAGCTCCACAGCAGCTCCCTGCATGCCCAGCAGCTCCAGGATGAACTCCTCCAACTGCGTCGCTCTCTCAACGCGCTCCGCTCCACCAGCTCGCGCGGCCCACCTTCACCGCGGTGCCGGAGCTCCGCAACGGCGCCGAACGGCGCGGAGCTGCAGCTGTTGGTGGAGCAACGGAAGTTGAACAGCGAGAAGCTGCAAGGGGCGCGAGATGACCTGGAGAAGTTGCGAAGGGAGACCTGGAGACCGACGGTGTGACCGGTGGTTTGTGTGACTGGTGGTCTTTCACTGGTGTGGCACTTTTGGGAAATTACATGTTCACTTAATTAACATGGTTTAGACGGTGGAGTCTACAGTCTACATATGTTGAGGAATGAGGTAGAAAAGTTTCTTGATGGTGATAGGTAGACATGGACTAGAGTATGCCAATGGTGTTGATGGTTGTTTACCATGACGGCTTCAATGGGGTTGGTGGGTGAAACATAGTTCCCCCACGGGTCCATTAAGGAACATGGACCTTTGAACTCAACCAGCTTTCATTTAAGGGTTCATGTTTTCTGTCTACCTTAACCACCAACAGCGTGTAGTCTCCCAACCAGGAGTTGTCCTGCTCTCCAAGGACTTGGCTGCCATCAGTGCAGACAATGCGCAGCTACGCTCTGGACTGCACTCGGTGATGGTAGGCTTGGATGAGATTCAGCGTCGGCTGTGAGGCATGTGTGCCTTGTGTTGTTCAATGCAGTTTTCCACACACATCTAGACCACTTTAACATATTTTATATAACTATAATTACATATTACACAATTGACAATAGTGAGGAAGGATTGGAAGGACGGCAGTCCATCTCTTGATGGGAGTTTGCACAATAAACTAGATAAGGACCCTTGACAAGGGATCACTCTCCAGATGATAAGGAGCTTTGACCATGGCACATGAAGATGTCTCAACTCAAGACCAGCACGCCCTTTGTGTGGAAGATCTACTGTACTTTGCAAAACGAGCAAGAGAGAGAGAGAGAGAGAGAGAGAGAAAAAAAATAGAAAGGGAGCAGGCGAGCCCAGTCAGCTTTTTTTGTAGCCCGTTTTCCCCAACCAAGAGCTTTGATTGGCTTGGATATGAGACGATGTTTTGGGATCATCAGTCTACGAAAAGATGCAGCAGGGCTTGAGCAGCTCTCAACATCTCGTCCGAGAGTCCAAGGCATGATGCAAAGAACATCCGAAAAAGGCCAAAAGGCCTCGTTACATTGCACAAATTCACTCCTGCCAGTGGCGGGTGTTTCCGCGTAATTTACTTCGAGCGATTTCTGGTGCGTAATTTCAGGCACGGCTTGACACACCCAAAGCCATCGCAGAGGTCAGGTAGTCAGTGAAGCAAGCTGGGAAGCTTGCAACCTAGCAGCTTTGGCACCCACCAGAGAACGCTGCTTTATGATGGATTATTGTTGTTTAGCTGGTAAGTGTTGTGTATTTGCCAAATAGTATTTGCTTCGTGTGGTAGCTGCAAGCTTCCTGCAGCGCTCCTTTTGCTACTTATTTGGTGAAGTGTGCTGCCTCCAAGTTCAATGTCCATCAACGGAAGAAGTAGCACAAGAAGCTCCCATGCCTGGCTCTGAACCTATATATGCAGTGGGTTGAGAGTAGATGGCACAATCCCAAAAGGTTGTTTATAGGGACCCCTATGTAAATGACATCTTGGGGTTTGTGCCATCTACTCTCAATCCACTATACCATTCTTTTGGATTTCTTCAAATCACAACTCACACCTATCAGTCCCGCCCAGTTCGTGTGCTCAATGTCGCATGTCGGTTGTGCTCTAAAGCCCGCGCCAGAAAAAACGCCGCACCTGGACTGAGTCCAGCGCCGGTCAATGACCTTTGTTATTGCAAAAGATGGGGCGTGAGAAGTGGAGATTTCATTGGCCCATTATACAGGCCCCCAAATAGACAGGAAAGGATAGAACAGGTAAAATCCCTTTCAAAAGGTATTGGACACCGTGCCACTATCTATTGGGGTACCACTATATTGATTTTTAGAGATAGTTGGGCTGCACTGCTTTGTAGACTTAGACTTGGATTAAGACATTGTTTCGCCCAGACCGGTTGGTGATGAAGTCATCGACATCAACAGCAACATCCTTCCAAAGCACCCTGAAAGATTGGTGCAAAACGGAGGCCATGTATTTGTATGTTTGGCCATGTGTTTCTTACAACAACCTCAAACTCACCCTTCGCTGTCCAACTCATTCACCGTTCGCTTCTTCTCGCAGGCCACCAAGCGTGCCCGGCACCTCAAGATTGACCTGGGGTGTGCCGGCCGGGTTTGATGCAAGAAATCCGGTTATGTTCCGTGAAGATAGTTTGCCCAAGGACCATGTGCCACTTCCATGTGTTTATAACTAATTACTCGTGAGACATCATGTGCCAGTGACTTGCAGAGCATCCCTTGGTATTCAGAGGCAACCATGTTGGCATGCGGGTGAAGACTACTCACTGCCCACCTACCCAGCCAGTGCAGCAGTTCAACATAGTTCAACTAGCTGCACTTTTTTATGGGTGGATTTCCCTACCCAGTTGCAGGGCCAGCAAAACCCAACACCATACTGCTCGATGTAATGTACATGGCAACCAATGACAAGTGACCATGGTCATCGCGTTCGAGTTTGTGTCAAAGGTGACCGAGACTTGAAAGTTGGGCATCGCCCAGGAAGGGTCATGTGAGCAACTGCCAAAACCTCCGATAAAGGCAGCATCACTACAGTGAAGACTAAGTAAGTAAAGTGCAGCAAACCTTCAGCAACGATAAGGTTCACATAAGGTTTTAGTGCATGTTGTTAGGTGTGTCCAAACCCTCAAGGTTCACAGAAAACACGATAACGTTGGGAAGAGTGCGCACTGCACCGCATAAGAAGTTTTACACGTCGCTCATATGACTCCTGTGTCATTTGATGTCATATGACACACAAAGAAATTGAGAGGGTCACCACCCCAAAGAGGCAGCGCATCGGTTTCTTCATGTCCTTGTTGCGCGGGTCGAAGGTCTCGATTTGGGGTTGAAGGTCCTGGACCCCTCGGTCGGTCCGTGACAGGCAGTGACATGCAGTGAGTGACATGTCGCACAGGGTTGTAGCAAACAACCCGAGGAGGTGGAACTGACCTGCAGATCAAATTGACCTGCAGGAAAGCAAAGAATGGAAAGACACGTCGTTTTAGACAGAAGGGTGAGTTGCACATTGAGCCAATCATTCCGGTGTCCATCAGAGATCAGCGACTGAGGTCCTGTTGCAGGTGGATCTGGCGGAATACGTTTGAGGCGGTCCAGCCAGCGACGCAAAAGATCAATAGAAATCCCATAGATTCCTAGAGATCCCAGTCTAGAAACTACAAGAGACCGCCCCAGGAAGGCAGTTAGACATCGCTACCCATGCTTAGACCCGCCTGCGTGAAACACGGAGGTGTTTGGAGCCCCTCCGGGGCCAGGGGCCAGCGGCGTGCCGATGGTGCATCGAGCTTGCAGAAGGCAAAGGCATTGGCCAGGTGAGGAACAATGGCCTGATCAAACCTTTAGCTCAAAGACCTTAACGCTACCTAGCAGTACTTCAAGCTGACACCTGGGGAGTGTTCGGCGTTCGTTTTTCAGTCAAAATTCATGTGGCAAAAATGGTCACAATGCCTTCAGCAGACTTCAGCACGGCAAATATCCAGCATATTTGAATTTAAGACCTGTTAAGACACAATAATTGACATCCAAACCTTCAATCCCAAGATCTCGTTCCTCATCCAACTTCTTTGGCTGCACAAGTCGCTATGCGACACCGGAGAAACCAGATGCTCAATGTACAGGCAGGTTCAGCCAGCCCGAGCCAACCGAAAACCGACAACCGCGGAAAACCGGCCGACATGTTGGAGCAGTTGGGCATTTTCAGCGATGGCTCCCTTGCTGCAATCGATTGTTCGTAAACAAGGGTAAGCCAATTGCAAGCCAGCGAATCAAGAGACCACTATAGTTACGGTAGTTATCTAGCTGAAGCTCGAACAAATACCTTTGCCACGAGCAGAGTGTCACTTAGTTTATTTGAGCAGCTATCAAAATCTGTCCTTATGTATAGCATAAAGGAGCTCATTTGTAGAACATTTACTTCTTTTGGCGAGATTTTCCGCCATCGAGCTGGGATTGTTTTGAGAACACCCAATCACTCCATGTAAAGACCACCGATATCGAAGTCCGGGAATCGGAGGGCTTCCGAAGACGCCCGAATTTCCGCCTAAAAACCAAGGCGTAGCATTCGGGCTCAAAAAGAAGCTACGATGCCACTCGAGCTGTTGTCGCGGAGTGGCAGTGCCACATGGCAGGCCACCATTGAGCGCGACGCTTGGAGCAAGTAGCTGACCATGAAATTGGATGAATGACACGAGCATGAAAACCGTTCCTGACCATGTTCTAAGGCTTATATTTGGAGCAGTGTGTTGCATGATTGTCCTGTACTCTAAAATGATGATACCTGTAGAAGGTTCTGAACTACATGGTGTTTGCTCCACTTCTTACCAACGGAGCTTTTGATGAGGTTCTGACAATCACTCACGTACCTTCATTCAGGTGCATTGCATTTGTTTGCATGTTTAAGGCGATAGGTTTCGCATGGTTTTGCAACTAGTGGCTAGTGGTTGCTGAAGTTGGTCTAGCCGGTGCGTTCAAGACGTCCTGGAATTGGCTACACCCCAAAAAACAGCCTGTAGCACAGTGATAACCGCTTCGACGGCCAGGAAAGATCAGCTCGTTTGCAGCTGCGAAATGCCTGCAGACCGTTGCCTACCTTAAGCCACCTAGATGAACCCCCTCCACGTGAGCCGTCCCTTTCATGTGCGAGGCCTCAAACAGATTCCTGGCATCGAATTTTACATGCGCGCCCAGGGCAGAAATGGGCGTGCATTCAAGCAGGGAGGCCTCCCAAAGACCTTTGGGAAGAAGAACCATGCACTAAACAGCTTGTGCAGTAGTTGGAGGACCTCCCTATTCGGTAGCCTATATAAGTCTTGGGCCACATGGTTGGTTGAGCTATGTTGAGCTTATATAATGGATCGACATGAAATTAAGTTCCTAATTACCAACTGTTTCTATTCATTGCGGTGATATGTTGTGATGTCTTGGAGTGTCCTTATTATGTACCTTATGCAAACCATTCTTGTTTCCATAGCTGGATGTGGGACACATGATGCAATGATGACTGAAGCCATTTGCACGGTCAATGAACTGTCTAATCCCTTGTTTGCTGTGTGACCATCCGAGGTCATGTGATGGAGTTTGCCGCACAAAGGCATGCACAAGGTATATCATGCATATCGAACATCATCGAACTCATATTGTCCCAAATCCAAACCAGTGAACAACTCCAATCGACATTCCCCTAGAGACTGGAGGAGGATTTGTTTAAAGCTTTCGAACGGGCCATGCAGGTTCATAACGAGGGTCACCCATGTGTTGTTTTTTTTCCAGTGGCGACCTCAGGAAGGCTCACGCGTCCGCTTGCCTCTATCAGCAAGCATGGCTTGCATGGGCTTGACTCATGGAGAGGTGACGATGTGGGCGGGGAAAAGCTTGCAGCAGAATCCACAGATGGCAGCGCACGTGTTCTCTCCCAAATGGGACATGTTACCTCGAGGCGCGGAGCTTTGTTGCGGACGAATGGATGTTTGTGGTTTTTTGAACTTGCATGGAATCAGCGTCTACCAACAAGGGGTGAACTCCACTTCCATGTTAGAGAGTCAGAGGGCAATACTCCCCGGCCATCTTCTCCGAATCAGCGTTTCCACCCTCTACGTCGACTTGTTTCTCTTTCTCGATGACAGCCTCAGGTGCAACCACCACGCTAACTTCTTTTGCCAACTTGAGGAGAAGTGAGCCGGCCGAGCTTGTAAAGACTTCTCCGAAGGTCAAAAGGCAATTCTCGCTGCCAAACCATATGGTCTCTTACCCTGAGACAGGGCAATGGTTACTCTGAGGCGTTAAGCGCCAACAGAGAGCGGAGACAAGAGATGCGTTCAGCGCAGAAAGATGGGGAGATTCAGCGGCAGCAATGTTTTTGATGTTTGCAGAATGTTGTGGCTGGGTATTGTGAAACACTGCCAGGTAGCATGGCTGAAGAGTTGCATCCCTGCTGCGCGCTGCGCTTGTTATTGCCCGATTTGTTGCTCTTCAAGTTTATTGCTGTGCTCGTCAATTGTTGGTGATGTTCATTTTCTTGGTTGCTTTATGACTATATTGTTGCTGCTGTTGTGTTCTTGTCCGATGGCACCTATGCACAAGGCAAGGGGTGCCACGAGACCAAGACAAGGCTTGCCACTCAGGTGTGACATGCTGCGGACTTGCAAATGCTGCCATGTCGGCTTGCTTATATACATTATTTGTGTTTAGCTTAATCCAGCTAAAGCAAAAGCGCACTCGGACGGAAACATGTGGCTTGCTTTGGCGCATCCCGCCCTCAAATCAGTCTTCTGGTTCGGATGCCGCAGCAAGATGCACGTTCGGATGCCCGTCAGGTCGCGTTGTATGTGTCACGCGTGTGCCACGTCTCAGTGAAGAGTGCCCCTGGAATCTCCATGCCAGATCTACTGTCCTGCTGCTACACTCGCAAGAGCCAAGCGTAGAACCCATATATATATATATATATATTACTATTAATTATGGAGAAAGATTGATGGCCAAGGGTTCTTCGTTCATATTCAGTCTTTTGGGGTGTATCAATGCTGGCAATTCTTTGCCAAAAGCTTTGAGTTGCTTTTTCCGTAGCCATTTGGGCGGTTCCAGAAAGGCACCAAGTAAAGATCAGTGCGAAACCTCTATGATTCCTGTATGATTCCTCATATTGGTCAACAGAAAGGAAAGGTCGCTTTCAGGTGTGTTTAGGCCCTTCAGATCATGTGGATACGATCTCAAAGTGCTTCCAGCTCGGATCTAGCCCCGCCTCGCTCCAGCGGTTCACAGTCACCCGAGCTTCGCCCCATTGACTGGACCTGAGAGCTCATCCGGACTGGGGGTCCGAAATCTCGCTAAACATCAGGGAAAGCAGGCATGGCAATCCTTCGATGTACCTCGCCCTGCCTTCGTGCGCGGCTCCCACGCCATGGGCGACTCGCCCAGCGCGGCGCCCGCGGACGGCGGCGCCGCGGTTGCCACGTGCGGCGGCCGCAGCCAGCGCCGCCCTCGGCGCGTTGGTCTCTCCAGCCGCACGGCGGCCGGCGGCGCCCGGACACCGTGGAACAAGCGGGGTGGAGCTGCCGGAGTTCAGCGACTCGGCATGTCGTAGACCGTTGATAAGGGGGGTTGAGCAAAAAGGAAGGGCTTTGCAATCGCAAAGGCGCAGGATCTCAGTTTTAGGGATTCTTTGCGCATCCAGCGGCGCCAACAAGAATGGACATCCTCCGAGGCAGAATCAGCATAGCACAGGCCACCCAGAGTAGATAGCACAGACGCTGAGAAGTACATATTTATTTGCACACTGTACATGAAAGAGATGAGGCCTGTGAAAGTCCATAATATGTGTTTACACATGTTGAAAGCCAATTCAATTCTGAGGGCCGGGCCCTCTCATGACGTTTCTTCTGACTCCCCTGCAGCTAGTGTAGCTCTTTGTTTCCGGGCTGATGCGTGGTTTTCTTGACTGACGTCAGGTGTGTACGCCGTGGCTGTGCAGGAGGCGGTACCTGATGCAGCGGTATTTGCAGGGCGTTGTGGCGGGGGAGGTTCTTGACACCTGAGGAGTCAAGGAGGACAGGCTGCTTGTTCTGTTGTTTTCTAGGACTCCACGACTCGAAGGACTCGAAGGGCCCAAGTGGTCTTTGGTCTTTGGATGTCTTTGGCCCAGTTAACGTGTTCCAAGAGGCCCCGCTTTTTGGAGCGTCAATGACATCTAGCCCGCTTTTTGGAGCTTCAGCCATTGTCTAGACAAACTCTTTCACCCTTTAACCCCTTTCTTTCACTCCAGGGCTCAGGGCCCAGAAATCCTTTTCTTCCTATTCGCGACCATTTCGATCTATTGCGTTTGCAGCCATCAGGCCCTAATTCTGGGCCCGGGGGCGGGGGTGAAACCCGATGCCGACATGCTTCCAGCACTTCTGTGCCGAATGGCGCCGCGCGCGCCGGGTGGTGCTCCTCCCAGCCCTCGACCTGGAAACCAAGCGTGAGCTCGCCACCGTCCTGGCCAGCGATCTGATCGTGGGCTGCGATGGGCCGCTGGCCGAAAAGTGGCCCGACTGCCAGGGGCTGAGAGGACCAGAGTGGCGTGGCGAGACGGCCACTGGTTCCGGATGGAGGGGTGAGCTGGCCAGGCCGGCACCACAAGATAGTCAGGGTGTTGTTCAATCGAAGGAGGTGGAGGATTTGTAGGAATGCATGCCTTCAGCAGTCGTAGATTGTTCTTTCTATGTTTTTTCTAGCAGCTCAACGGCAGATGTTGGAACTCCTCGCAAAATCAGAAGATCAAAGACGTTTGGTACCCCCAGATCGCATCAGATTGCCAGACCAAGCACATGAGCTTCTCAGGAATGCACCGGAATCCCAGGCCCTACGGCAGAGGAACTCCACAGAACCAGGAGAAAGAGCACACCGGTCGGTTTACATCGGCAGGTTTGCTTCAAGACCTCAAACGAGCCAGGTATAGCATGGCCTTCTGGCATGCCGATTATGAGGAAGCTGGATCGGCACGGCTGTGGCTGGCACAGAACGGCACCATGGTCTCCACCATGGGCAACGACGAGGCGCGGTCAACTCAGCTCAGTTGTCAAGTCAAGATAGCATGTTGATGGGTTTGCTGGAGTTGGTGCACGATGGTTCAAGGTTTCAACAGCATCCCAGCTTCTTTCCTAGAAATGATGGGCATTTGCTGGACTTTCCCCAAAGCCATCGAACACCACTGCTTGGGCTGTGTGTTTGCAAGAGGTGGAGACCAACGACGGGGAGGCGTCCATCGAGGATACAGCGAAGATGGACAAACAACGTGACTACATCGGAAGAGTTGGGGACCGTTTGGGTGGGCCCACCCCTGTCATACCTGGATCTTCCAAGTAACTCTATGCAGAAGATGTGACTTTTTCATCCATTAAACACATAGGCAGAACATACCCACAAGTAGTTGGAAGATCCAAGTATGAGAGGCATACAGTCTAAGACATCGGTTCCTTCATGTTCCTTCCATCCCCTTTTTTTCTCGGTGGACGCGTGCTGAAAAGCATGGCTCATGTTCCATGTGTCTTGGCGTTGAATCCAATGTGTCTTGGGCTCCTGGTTTGCCCTTTTCCCGCGAAGGGCAGTAATTCTTCACTCGTCCCTCATCGACGTGGCCATAGATCCTCTCTCTCTCTCTCTCTCTTTGGTACTTTACATATTAGGATCACAGAGGATGATTGTTGTGCAATCGTTATGTTTCTCAGTTGTTCCCATCAAAAAATCGAGCTCATGGTGCGTTTCATGGGTACTTGCCAAGTTTCATACAAGTTCATACAAGTTTCAACTCCCAGTCTTTGGTGCCTAACAGATGGTCTCACACCTGAGGTGTCAAGTCTGGCGGCTTCTCCAGTACCTTGCGGAGCTTCGCGAGGATGCGGAAGCAGCAGGACGGTCCCGCCGGTTGGGCAGGGAGTATGGCTTGGAAGTAGCGAGCAGCGGGGAAGGACCTTTGTTTTCTGGAAAAGAAAAGAAAGAATAACTTCAAGTGATTTCAAGTGACGTGTTCTGTTTTTTTACATTGTTTTTACTTGCAGTGAGGAATTGTGAGGAAAAAACAGACTAAATACTTGCTATACTTGCAGTGAGTGCTAGAATTGTGAGGAGAAGCGTAACAACAGATTGTTGAGCCACACATCTCATGAGGGGTCCATACTGGACCAAGACTTGTTGCGCCACTCAGTCCTGGAGGCATCCGTTTGTTTGCAACCCCCCCAGGGGGCTGTTGGCTCCACCATCCGTTGTTTTGCTCCACCAAAAGAGAACATGAGAACCTCGGAACCAACAGAACAATCCCGGAAAGGAACCTGCAATAGCTTCGGCCCGTGGGGCCGTTGGAGTACACACTTTCGATCCCAAGGCATTAGTAGCTCCGAACGCAAAGACACTGCGAACGTAGCAAGGGGCATCGCTACGAACGTCACTCGGAACGAACGGGGCATCGCGATGGCTCGAAGGCCGCGATGCCCCCCTGAAAGGTGATCCCGACGGATGATCCGATTTCACAGCGGGTCAGGCAACACCCTACAGAAAATATAGAAATGGTTTTCCCGAAAGGTGGGAAAAGGATGGAAAAGGCTCTGAAAAGGTTACACTTCCGCAGGTGTCCAATCTGACATGAGATCCCTGAACCCTTCAGTAGGAAAAGATGGCAACAATAGTGTTCTTTCAATCCCTCAGCTCAGGGAGGGGGTGCCTTCCCTCCAGGATTTGGATTCCGTCTCCAGCGTCAGCTGGTCTATATCGCCTCAATCCATCAGCAAGAGCACCGGCCCGGTCACAGCAGACCAGACCATGTTGCCGGGCAGTCTCACTTCGTCTCCGATGCCGGGTGCGTCGCATCACAAGGAGGAGGATGAAAGGTGTCAAGGAAGATGCCAAGGTGTCACCCATCAAACTAGGGAGTAACTATAGGGATTTGCAACCATGAACGCACTTCAGTAAGAAGTGACGATCTTATATAACTATAACGATATATGGGTCTGTTGTTGGGTTGGTGGGTTGTTGGTTGGGTGGGTGGGTGGGTGGGTGGGTTGGTGTGCGTTGGCGCCCTGGTTCCCAAACGAAGGGGCCTTGAATAATTTGATGAGTCAGGCTGAGTCAGGTTGTTCGCACTTGGTTTTATTTCTTACCCTTGCCAAGAACTCCTCATGTCGATTGGACAGTGAGCGCTGTGAAGGCAATCACCTCAGGATGAGGTGTGGAAGCGCCACTCTCTGGTGAGCCCAGTTTTGGAAACTCCAAAGATGGCACGTCGGACACTCATCGTACTGCATTTTGGGCGATATGCCCTATTATGTATCTTCAACATTCCCCCGAAACCCGAACCAAGACAAAAGGTTGGGACCCAGTTAGCATGTGGAGGTCCGGACCAGATTTGGAGAGGACTTAGGTGTCTACTTTGCCTTCTTTGGTATATTTGGTTGGGATCCAGGTCTTGGCGAATGTGTGTGTGTCGATGTCCACGAAGGATGGTCCGGAACTATTTATCCCGTGAGGGATGCGTGCTGCTGACTTTGAGCGGGAAGATGGAAGATTGGGTGGCCCTACTCCACACTCATCCTACTCCATCAGGTGGACTACTCCATCCTCAGAGTCCATAGGTGGACTACTCCATCCCCAAACCCAAGGGGTCCGTCGACCGTCGTCGAACCGCCCCTGCGATGCCGACATCCGAGGCTATTTCGGAATCCAGAACATCCAATGGCTCATTTTCCAGATGAGTGCCACGTGGTCGAGAGGAAACCGGCTCCACCCTGACTAACCTTATATAGGAATTGAAGATTATTGAATTGAATCAGTTATTATAGTCATGTTCAAGTTTGACGCACACCCACTCAGAACTCCTTGCTCAAATCCCAAGCGCTTTTGTGAGCCGTGCCAAACATGTCGACTGGGGATTTGAGGATAGTTCTAGCTTTGTCCGTTGTTTGCGCAATGGGCAAGTACCTTCGAAGTCAGCAAAGGCACCAAGGAGGAGTTTGTGCAGCTGATGCGAAAGAGCTTAATGGCAGAGCAGCTTTATGCGGAAGGAGTGGGGCCGAGTCAGAAGATTGACGACATCCCCATCGCCGGCCCTCATGACGCTGAAGATCTTTATGAAGCTTTGCTCATTCATCAGCAGGTATGCCGGATGACTCTAGGCATCTCGGCGTGAGACGGTGGATGTTTGTCCAAGTGCATTGGCGCCAAGCTAACCCCTGTCCCATTAAGCTGCCATGCAGTGGCTTGCTTTGGGTGCACTAGTTCCAGAGGCATGACTGGCGAGGTGGCAACCAGTGCGTTGTTCGCCCAGGTTCCGTGCTTCAGCTGGGACGAACGATGGATGATTTGGTCAAGAGGTGGATGGTCTTGACCAGGTTCAGGCAACTGATCGAAAGGGACACTGCCACCATCAGCACTTTCATTCAGAATCTCGGCTGAAGCTTCAAGAGATGGAGAGTGGTACCATGTGGTACCCATACGTATAAAGTTATATACAATGATATTACAGGAAGGCTCAGGCGAATGCTAGTTAATCTGTGAGGTTCAAAGAAACGGACACAATATCGTAAGAGCTACACTCACCACTGATCCTTGATGTTTGCCAGCAGAGTTCAGAGTTCAATGTTGTTTTATTTAGTTTTTTCTCACCTCCCCATGCAAAACGGCTCCCAGAACCACCTCGCCTTACGCTATTGCCCTCGTGTGACCAGACCGAGGACTTACTTCATCAGCCCCAAGGTGAAGCACATCGACTCCAACGAGATCCTCAGCATGGTGGTGGTGGTGGTGGTGGTGGTGGTGGTGGTGGTGGTGGTGGTG